CGAAAAAAAAAAAAAAGTTATCCCAAAGCTACAGTAATCAAAACTGTTTGACATAGGGTACAGAATAGAGCCCAGAAATAATCACGCATATTATCAACTGATTTTTCTGAAGGATGCCAAGATCATCTAATAGAAGAAGGAACAGTCTCTTTAAAGTATGGTTCTGGAAAGCCTGGCTATCTGTACACAGAAGAATAAAGTTAGACCTTTATCTTACTCCAGATATAAAAATTAACACAAAATGAAACAAAGACCTAAGTGTAAGGCCTAAGACTATAAAGCTGTCAGATTAAAATACAGAAGAGCTTTCTGACATTGGATTTGCTATGTCTTCCTGAGGAAGACACCTAAAATCTGGGCAACAAATGTCAAAACAGATCAATTGGACTACATCAAGAGTTTAAACTTAAAAAAAAAAAAAAAAAAAAAAAAGCACCAAAAGGCACAAAGTAAAAAGGCAAACCTACAAGATGGGAGAAATATGTGAAAATCATATTTGTAGTAAGAGATTAATATCCAGACTATATTAAGAACTATGATACAACTGTGTCATTTAAATGTGTAATTTACATGCCATTATATCTTAATAAATACTCCTTTTTAAAGAAAATAAACCCTATGCTGGGCGTGGTGGTACATGCCTGTAGTCCCAGCACTTGGGAGGCAGAGGCAGGTGGATCTCTGTAAGTTCAAGGCTAGCCTGGTCTACATAGTGAGTTCCAGGACAGCCTGGGCTACAGGGAGACCCTGTCTCAAAAAGACCCCCCCACCAAAAAAAAAGAAAAGAAAAGAAATCCTACCAAAAGATAATTTGGCAAGCAGGAACTTGTCTTCAGACCACAGAATTCCTAATGTTCCCCCAGTTAGAACCTCTCCCATATACACTAGCACATAAGGACTCAGCAAAAGTACAGTCTGTCTTATAAAAATTAGTAAGAACATGGAAAATGTGAATAAATTATCGAAGTTTCACATTATCATTTTTAAAAAGTGAAAGTTCACAAAAACAAGAAAAATATTTATAGACAATACCTAATTAACTTCAGATGTAACTTTCCTCAGTAACAATGATGGATAAAAAAAGCATCGGGGGTTGGAGAGATGGCTCAGCGGTTAAGAACACTGGTTGTTCGTGCAGAGGACCCAGGTTCAAATCCCAACACCCACATGGCAGCTAACAACTCTCTGTAACTCCAGTTCCAGGGGATTTGATGGTCTCTTCTGTTCTCCATAGCCACTGCATGATACGGGTGCACTTACCTACATGCAGGCAATACACTCATACACATAAAATAAAAATAATAAATATTTTTAAAAAAGCATCGGAACTACAGCTATCTTCTGCAGTAAAAAGAAACTTACTAGTTGGATTTATTGTAAAGGTAAGTTAATGTGTTTAGAAGACAGTATAAATGATATATATGGTGGGTTCAGTGATATAAATACCAATTTTTCCCCCATGACTGTAAGTTTGAAAGCATAATTTCAGATATTACGGTTCAAATTCAGTGCAAGTGGGGACTCATATTTGCACTGTACTGTCTAATTAAATACAAAAGTATAGAAAGATCTGAGAGCAGAGCCCATACCAAATATACCATGTTCTGTCACTGAAAGGCAGGAAGAAAGAGCTCCAGAAAGCACCATGGCGATGCTGTCCATGCTTCTACTTATAACCTTTTATTGCTCCTTTCATTCTATCTAGCTGTATCCTAGGCAGACAGAAATATGGCATTTGGCTTATAATAGTTCAAAATGATTTGCTGTTAGAAAATGCTTTTCTACACAGCAAAAAGCAAGACCAGTAAATCCTCAAAATGCTTATTGAATTGAACAGGAAAAAAGCAAATTGGTCTGTGAAAGCATTTGTCAGGAGATCAGGTTCCAGCTTGAACACTAAGCTGCGTAACATTGGTTAAAGCCACTTTCTGCTTTTTTATCTGGAAAAATGAAGAGAGAGAAGATGAGCAACTATAATCTGTAGGTTAAGTATAAAGTAAAGGAACTTTGCAGAATGAGACAGCTCTGTATTCAGACAAACTTACCAATAATTCAATGCAAACAAGCTTTTAATGAACAGTTTCTGTCTCCTAGAAACTGTCAAATGCATGACACCCAGATTTGTAAACAGTTAAGATTCCATTTAAACAGGAAGCATAATGAGAAAGAGCAGAAAAAACTGCTGCCTTAAGAACTCACAGTGCGGCTATTGAGAAACCAAGAGCCCAACAGGATCTGCCAAGCCTGATGCGACACACTGGCGTACAAGGCAGCATTCAGCAGGACAGGATACTGCTAGCTCACTATCTCAAGTTAGAAAATGTGCCACAAAAATTGCTTTAAAATGGAGATTTTCATAGAGTATATTACACTGAGGAAAACAAGATGCAAGAAATTGATTTTTAAAGAGACTAACCTAAGTTTCTTAATAATCACCATCAGACCATTATACATCAAACACACTCTAAGCCAGCCTTCGCAGAATCTTTAAAATAACAGAACAGAAAGATATGACACTGTCTTATTTAGAACAAGTACCGTATTTTTGTATGATTTTACAGTCTTCTTTAAAATGACAATAAAATTTTTGTATGATTCTATGAATGACAAAAATCCTTATCATTCTTCCAAAACTACAGTTCAATTGTATTTGCTGCCTTTGTTAGAAAATTTAGTTGCTTATGATCTGCTACCTATATACTTGACTCACTATGTTTAATGAAGAAAAAAATCCCAAAAACATTTCCCACAGGCAACATGGAAGCTCTGTTTAAAAGACAAAAGATTAAATATTAGCAATTTAATCCAGGTTCTAGACCCTTTTAGATTTCTTCTTCACTGAAAACAGGGTGTTTGGAAAACAAAAGTCTATGTATGTGTAGAAGAGGAAACAGGACAATCTCATCCAGCTTTCCTACTTCGTTACTTACAGTGCTGATCACAATCGACTCTGGCAAACACGACTTGATTTTTATCTGGATATTCTTCCTTAATGACATCAGATGCTTCCTCAAAAATTGGATGCAACATCTGGCTGAAACGACACCTACACAGACAAGCACAGCAATCAGCAGCGAAAGGCAGAAGTAACAGAAGCTTACTTCAGTTATTACCCACTGATGTTTAGTATCTGTACAATACACAACTTGTCAGACAATCACATTAATTCAATCATGGGCCCTGATATCTGTCAGTGAGGGAAGAGAAAAACAACTTTTAATTCAAAGGTTGCACCCCAATTCAATATTGTGCAAACATAAAAGTTCATTTGTTTTCCTTATGATAACTGTGAAGATTATGGTGCATACTGCTAAGGAGGCCAGAAAACAAGCCTGGAGTGTTCCTTCTAATCTACACTGCTGCCCTGCTTGCACTTGCAATGGCTAAGGCTTGAGTGTGTAGAGAAGAAATGCACTTTCTCTAAATAATGAACACATTTTTATATTGCTATATAAACACTTAGTTTATTGCAAATATTAAGACTAACCCACCTGGCTGCTCTATCAAATCTCAGCGATAGCATGCTAAATACACTGATTATACCAAAAGGATATATGGTATAAAATGAATGATCTCCTTCAAAATATATGGTTTTTATAGTAAAAACAAAGTAAGTCCAGAAGCAAATATTTTAAATTCCCAAAGACTTCCTGACCATTCTTCTTTGTTTCTCTGTACTTTTATTATTATTATTATTTTGTCTTTTTTGAGACAGGGTCTCCCTGTAGCCCCCAGCTGGCCTGGAACTTGCTATGTAGACCTGGCTGGCTTCAAACTCACAGTGATCCACCTGCTTCTGCCTCCCAAGCGCTGGGATTAAAGGTGTGTGCCACCACACCCAGCTATTTCTCTGTACCTTAAAAATGGAGCAGGAGCTGGGCGTGGTGGCGCATGCCTTTAATCCCAACACTTTGGAGGCAGAGGCAGAGGCAGGCGGATCTCTGAGTTCAAGGCCAGCCTGGTCTACGTAGTGAGCTCCAGGACAGCTGGGGCTACAGGGAGACTGTCTCAAAAAAAAAAAAAAAAAAAAAAAAAAAAAAAGAGCACGAAACCGAAACCCACAATAATTCCAGAAAATTGTTATTCCTAATCTTAATTGTCTGTTATTAAACCAACCACTTCAGAAGTAGATGTTGTGGGTCGTTAAAGGAACCTGAGACGAAAGAAAAAACTGCATACAACCAGCAGGGTAGAATGGACATTTCAGAGAAAAGGTATCAAGGAGGATACGGTAACACACTGTAATAGCTACTATTGTTTCTAGAGCCTTTATGCACCAAGAAATTGTCTAACTCTAATCCATGTGTCATATATATTAGCAATAACCCAATAATGATATCATAAACCGTGGGAAAGGAGGCAAAGTCATACCTCCTCCCTACTTCTTGTAGCTCTCTCTAGCCTACTCACCTGACTTCCTAAGGAGATGTCCTAGAATATATCAAGGAGACACAATCTGTATCTTCAGATTCCTGCTTTCAAGTAGTCCTTTCCTCTTTAGCATCTTAAATCTCCCATCTGGGATAGGTAGGTAGGGTCTCTGGACATCATGGACCGTGTCTTATTTGACTACATACTCTAATAAGCATACATGAGCAAGCTGATCACCTGAAGAACTAGAGAAGCTGGAACCCCAGGTTTGTATGCACTCACAGTTTCCTGAAAATAGAGCAGGGGAAGGTAGCAGAAGGCATGGACTAGTTTGATTTTTAAGTTTTGAAAATTTAGATATGGCCTAGAAAAGAATTAATGTACAGGTTTCAGCTTAAGAGCAAAAGGAAGACTCATATCACAGGCCCCTCTCTGCACTGTCTAGTTTGCTGTCCAGTAAGAATTTAAGGCAGGTCCATGTTTAAAATAGCATCAGTTTAAATACTAAAAAGATAAACTGGGAGGTGAAAAAACAGTTCAGTTCCAGTATTACTGCACCTTCATACATGCATACATATACATGTAAATGTTACATTTTTACATGTAACATCAAAAAGTAACAGACCCATTAAAAGAATTTTATGGTCCTCTGAACCCAATCTCCAATCTAGTGCTTAAACAATCCTTAACAAATAAACGTATGAAAGTCTTTGCAGAGACACACTTAATTATGACCTACTGGGAGAAAAATAAGCTTTGGATTTAAACATACTTGAATTTAAATCCAAGATCTACCACTTACTAGCTGTATGACTTTCTGGGCCTCAACTTCCACAAACAAAAACAGAAAATTTTAATAACTATCTGCAGGTCAATTCTGAACATTAAAAACTGTGTATGTACAGTTTGCTACATTAGCAGCATTACTGAACACCTACTCTGGTTTATGACTCTAAGGCACTGTACTACTGTTAGATGGTTGCATACAAAACCTAATTTCTAAAGAGAACAGAGTCTAGTATTTGAGACTAAACACAATACATCTACCAGCAAATGTATTCAAGTCCACTCAGTTGAAAAAAGTACCACTTCATTTATAGCCAACAGTATTCTTTAGATAGTATGGTTTCTAAATAACTGTTACTAGTCCATATTTCCAATTTGGATTTTGCAAAAAGGTCAGTAGCATGCATTATTCTGTTTTCTCATGACAAACAATTCCTCAGTGAAAAGCACTATGTTCTAATTTTTTCTGTGCTAAAATCTTTGTTACAGAGGCCAGGTGTGGTGGCACACACCTTTAATTCCAGCACTTGGGAGGCAGAGGCAGGCAGATCATTGTGAGTTCAAGGCCAGCCTGGTCTAAACAGAGTTCCCGGTCAGCTGGGGCTACAGGGAGACCCTGTCTCAAAAAAGGCAACAAAAAAATCTTTTACAGAGAAAGTATTTTGCGCTTCTGTATCTGTTTCCTTATCTGTAAAGTACATTGGACTAGATATTCTTCTACCAAATTTTATGAGCAATATTAATCCCAATTTATCTTGACAAATGCTGTTACATATTTTATAAATGGTTATTTTTCCTGTATGACTTCAATTTTTTATTAAAGTTCTTTATATATTAACATCGATCATGCATACATTCATTCAAGAGACAGTTACTATGTACTTATCAATGATGTATATGCAAAGTTTTTAGGGAGTAAGATTTTTTAAATAGAGTTATGGTAATTATCTTCACAAAGCAAAAAAGGTATTAGGGAATCATCAACTAGAATGTAGCATTTACAGGGGCTATGGTTGGGTAAGATAGGAGTATTATGGGAAGCAGAGACACTCCCTGACTTATAAAGAAGCTAAGACTGATAAATCCAACGTAAACTAAAAATATATTAAGGAAAAAATACAGTAATTGCACCCAATCTTCCAAACAGCACAACTCAGAAACACAATATAGTGCAGAGCAACTCTTACCCTCATGATCACATGTCTGACTGGGAGCCAGAGCTTGCCACCAAGGCCCACCCACCACAGTACTGCCTGTCACTAGCCCAGGAAAAGATCAAAATGTAAAGTCCGGTTTCTATTAACTGCATATAACTTTTACACCATAGCAAAACTTTTTAAAATCATACACTAAATTATTATACACTGGGGACCATTTGTATAGGGGACCTAACTTGATTTGAGAGCACAGGGTAGGAACACTGATCTATAAGGATGATCTGAAGAAAGTGGCATTTAATCTAAGTTTTGAAAGATGAATGACAATTAAGCAAAGACAAGAAGTGTCAATCTAGGCCAGGAAGATACTGGAAGTCCAGTTATGAATAGTATAAATTTTCACAGAAATTTAAAGAAGTCCCACATAACAAGCATATATGGGAGTCAAAAGAAGCAAGACACAGCTGTAGTGACTGGAAGGGATCAAATCATCAGGGCCCTTCTAGGTCAACATAAGGAACTTAAAGATTAACCCAAAGGTTAAAGAGATGTAAGATGGGGTGTAAACTAATGTTTGCACTGTAGGAAAGAACTCTGGCTTAAACTACAGAGAAAACAGAGTAGAAATACATAAAACCAGAGATACAGAAAACTATGGGAGAAAACTGTTGCAGGAATCTGAGCAAACTGCTCAGTTAGGCCAAAACAGGGTAGTGGCAGTTAGCTGTCAAGAGGCTGTCAAGGGTCAAAGAGAACATAAATGATCTAGAAATAATAATGGCAGTGTTTCAAGCTTCTCTTCAGCTGATTTCCGTTCTTCCTGTCCCCATGACACGTTATTTAACATGTACTCATACATCATGTCTTTGTTTTTGGTTCTGAAAACACTAATAAGACATCTCTACCCTCAAAGTCAGTTTGGTAGGACACAAATAAGTTTAAAAACAATCTACAAGTTGAGCATCTCTAATCTGAACACCTGAAATTGGAAATGGAACTTAAACAGCTTTAGATTTTCAAACGTCTCAAACTTTGGATTTATGGATTAGAGACTCTCAACTGGTAAAAATCTACGGACATATTTCCAAAATCTGAATCACTTCTGGTCTAACACACTTAGGTAACGGATAATCAACTTTGAGTGAAAAGAAGAGACTAGTCCACAGGACACCATATAAACACAGATGGCAGGATCTGAGTCAGAGGGAGAACTAAAGGCTTTCTGAAAGAAGTGTGTAAGATGAACAACGTCAATATTTTTTTTTCCCTTCTAAATTTGTCACATCTAAATCCTGACCTCCAATCTACACCCTCTTCTCATGGATAGGCCAAACAGAAAAGAAAGGAAAGATGAAAGAAAACTAAACCAAAGACTGAAAACAAGATTACTTACCAGTCAGCATAAAAATTTACTAAAGCAACATCAGCATTGTCTGAAATTGAAAACAAAACCAAAGTTATTTGTGTCTATGGGATTGTGACATACTTATATAATTTTCACCATTATCTTTTATAATTTTCACCATTATCTTTTCCCATTTGTAAAGGGCCAATTAAAACTCCACAATAATAATTATCTCTCACCCAGAAATCCATGAATACAACCAAGGTTAACTTATATGTAATTAGACATTAATTATGCCTAATCTTCCAAATAGCACAGCTCAGCAACATGGTACTGTGTAGAGTATCATTTGTTTACCTTTGTGATCACATGTCTTACCTAGGGTGCTAGAACTTACCACCACTGTCCACCTGAGAGAAAGTATAGTAATTTTGAAAGTAAATTTGAAACAGTGTGTGTGAAAATTGGTACTCTTTATCATTGGTTTCCAGGGTCCTCTCAGCCTGGGTGGGTCACTTCTTGTTCTCATGTACTTCTTTACTTAATCACCTTTTAGATCTTATATTAAATGCCACTTTCTTCAAGTGGCCTTTATGTATAGTGTTCCTACCCTTTGTGTTCCATCAGATCTAATCTTTTCTCTATATCCTCCAATGAGTTCATCTCAAATGAGCATAAGGCAAAAGGAAGTCAAGTCCTGATTAGGCCACATAAGTTACCAAGCAGTCTACTCCTATAAAGTGGGATGATCTGGAGTTTAATAACTCATTTTTAAATATTCCATATGCATGAATAACTGAGAACTGATTCTTCAAATAAAAGTGCAGAAACCTTTCACGAAGGAAACCTGAGAACCAAACTTCTCTCAGATGTCACCCAGTAGCAGTAAGAAACCCAAACCAGCAGTGTGGCACAAACACCACTTTTTCTAGTTCCTATCCACTTAATATTCACTCTCTTACACACAAAGAAATCATTGTCATTTGCATTTTTAAAATTTTTTAAATTTTTGACAATTTCATATATATTTAAATCACCCTCATTCTGCCCTCTCCCCTTCCAACTCTTCCCATGTCTCCCCCCACTTCCTCTCAACTTCCTGACCCCTTCCTTGATTAATATGGTTATACATCCATACATAGATTCATTCATTACCACCCCCCCACACACACACACTATACGGAGTTCATTTAGTGGTGCGCAGGTGCATATGTGATTATGGCTGAACATCTGGGCTCATACAACACATCAAGGAGCTTGTCCTTGGAGTAAATTGATGCTCCCTCTCATACCAGCAACTGACTGCCTGTAGCTCTTCATTTAGAAGTAGGACCTTGTAAAATTTCTCCCATCCACACTGACATGTCAACTGGTATTGTCATCAATATGCAGGTCATGTTTAGGCAACCACATTGTGTTTCATGGGTATAGCTTCCCTGCCTGACTAGAAGATACAATCAAAAATTCTCTATGCTGATTTCCATAGTGGCTGCACCAGTTTGCAATCCCATCAGCAGTGAATGATGGCTCCCCCTTCCCCATATCCTTGCCAGCATTTGTTATCAGTTGTTTTCTTGATCTTAGTCATTCTGATTAGAGTAAGGTGAAATTTTAAAGTAATTTTAATTTGTGTTCCCCCAACTGCTAAGGATGTTGAACACAGTTTAGGTTATTTCTTGGCCATTTTTATTTCTCCTGAGAACACTGGTTCAGATCCATAGACCATTTTTTCAATTGGGTCATTTTTTAAAAATCTGTTTTTTGAGCTCTTTGTATATTCTAGATATTCATCCTCTATCAGATGCATAGCTGGCAAAGATTCTCTCCCACTTTGTCAGTTTTCTCTTCCCTTGTTTTTCTTTACTGTAAATAAGTTTAATGATTAGGTCCCATTTGTTAACTGCAGGTCTTAATTCCTGAGTGAAAGGAATCCGATTTAGAAAGTCCTTTCCTGCACCTGCATCTTGTCAGGTATTGCCTATGTTATCTTTTAACGGTTCCAGAATTTGAATTTCACATTCAGGTCTTTGATCCATTTGGAGTTGATTTTGCTCAGGGTGATAGATATGGCTCTAATTTCGTTCTTTTACATGTGGACAACCAGTTTTCTCAGCACCATTTGTTGAAGATGCTGTCATTCCTCCAGTGTGCATTTTTGACATCTTTGTCAAATATCATATGGCTATTATTATCTGCACTCATATTTGGCTTGTCTATTTTGTTCCCATTGATCTACACGTCTGTTTCTGTGCTGCTACAATGTTGTTTTTATTACTATAGCTCTGTAATATAACTTGAAGTCTGGTATGGTACTCTATCTAGCATTATACTTTTTGCTCAGGACTGCTTTGGCTACACAGGGTCTTGTGTGTTCATATAGATTCTACAATTTTTTTTCTTTCTGTTTCTGTGAAGAATGTCATAGGGATTTTGATTGGAATTACACTGAATCTGTTAATTGCTTTTGGTAGGATGGTCATTTTCACAATTTTAATATTATCAATACATGAGCACCTCAAGTCTTTCCATCTTCTAGCATCTTCCTCAATCTTTTATTCAGAGAAATCTCTAAATGCCTTCATTGTAGAGGTCTTTCACATTTCTTGGTTAGGTTTTTTCCCAATTTTGTTTGTTTGTTTGTTTGTTTGAGGCTACTGTGAATGAGAGTTGTTTCCATGATCTCTTTCTCTGCCTATTTGTTATTGGTACACAAAAAAGCTAATTTTGTATCCTGCCACTTTGCTGAAAGTATTGATCATTTCAATAATTTTCTGGTAGAATTTTTTGGATCTCTTATTTATAATGGGGGATAATTTGACTTATTTTCCTATTGGTACCCCTTTAAATTACTGTCGTCTTATTCCTAATTTTAATGGGAATCCGGAACTTCTGTTTCTTCTCCACTTAGAATGACGATGGCTGTAGGTCATTTACATTTTAATATGTGAAGACATGAGAAAGATACAGCACTGTTTCTTTTGCTTAAACCTAATTCATAGAAATTTAAGCTCTTCCAACACATGTGAAACTGAAAGATATTCCAGAAGTTGAGAGATGAAAAGAATGAGAATGTGAACCTCTGGTCCCTTCCCTCTTCTAGCACATTTTGTCCACTTGCTTATTCAGTCAAGCTATGATTCACAGACTGAGGTTTTGGGACCAGAAGCACCACCGTGGCCCAGGAACATACAGAAATGCAAATCAGGTATGGTCTAGTAGTTTCTGTCAGAAACTGAGGATCTGCCCAAGCAGCACAGACATGAATAAGCCCTCCATGTGATTCTGACACATGCTAAGGTTTAATTCTAAAGAGAGCTTATGAGACAGAAATAGATGTCCTTTTCTTAGCATTTAAAGTTCCAGAAACATAAAACAATATATGGTGCTCAATGAATTACTTTTACTCCCTTTTTATCTCTAGTACTTATGGTTTTGTTATATGCAAATAAGTGATTTTTTTAAAAAGGAAGAAATCATTTATGAACACTACATGTATTTTTAAATCCATTATCATCACCATATCAACAATATCTTAACCAGTCTTTTAGTATCTACAAAAATCAGAATGATATCCTCCATGTTAATAATCACATTGTCAGCAAACAATACATTCAGTAAAACACTTACTGGACTTAACTGGATCAATGCTATGAAAAGAGATCATAATAAGTCATTTAATTAAAGTATAAGAAAAAAAAGTTATAGGATTTATTCTATGCCCTTAATATTTAGTGCTGCACAGAGGAAACTGCAGGACTCAGACTGGGCCTTAGCAGAGCTTTATAACCATGCTAAGAACAGTATCTATGCCACATACTAAGAACAGTATCTATGCCAAGACAAACAAACAAAAAATTCAAAGTAGTGCTTAAAACCCAGGAAAGGAGGCACACATTTTAAGAAGTTTTACCAATAATCAAAGATAAAAGTGTTTTTACAAATTCAGTGAAATGGGCCTAAATGCCAGTTCGTCAGCAATTCTAGACAACTGAGGTTGTAACGTGATCTTTATATATTTTATACTTTAAAAAATTAAGCTACTTACTTAAAATTTCATCTATATTCTCTGTATCAAGACTTGTGATTTCAGCTGTTATAGGTGTAAAAATCCAGGTTACCTGAAAAATATTTTAAATGGAAAATTAATGTTTCCATAAAAAGCAAATAAAGTAGCCTAAAACACATAAGTAAAATTGATTCTAGTTATTTCTAGAAAATCATCTATCAACTGATTTTAATCATTATTAACTATTCCAACCCTTCATTAGACCAAATAAACAGGGAAAATATTAACTTCCCTAGCCTAGAAACCAGTCAAAGAATCCCTATGCTTCTGAATACATAAAAGAAAGTTTCTAAACAACTAAGAAAACTCTGAATGTATTCACCCATTTTGAAAGTACTGGTATAAAACCATACTAGGTATGCTGATTCTATCTATCATGCTTCTAAGAGAACAAAATCATGAGGAAAATTTAGAAGACATTTGCCAGATGAAAACCAAATCCCTTCCTGCACTATTTTCACTCTCTGAAATAATGTGTTAAGGAGCTATTACACAAGTAAGAATGTTTTCACTTCACTTTAATGTGTCTGTCTGAGCACCTCGTTCAACCTCGCCAGAGAAAATCTAGTTGCTCTATCGCCTGCAATGCACAGAAAAGACAAAAACTTTGAACTAAACTAGCAGATTTTTACTTATTTTAATAAAAAGTAATATTGATTCTGACGTGGCATCTTTAATTTAATGCATCTGCTACACATGCGGTTTTATGTTCACAGCAGAGCCTGTATATGGAAATCCAGTAGCTGAATCACTGCTTTTCATCAAGTGCAAACAAATGTCAAGTGCTCCTCAAAACACTGCCATTACGTGACCGTTACTTCACTTAGTTCTCACAACATGACAATTCAAAACTTTATAATCTGCCAATAACTCAATGGCATGAAGACATGTTGATACCAGCACATGAACATCTCAAGTAGCAGTTTAAAATATTACTATAGGTTTATTTGAAGGATAACACTAAATCTTACCATAAGAGTGTAACCAGTTACTAGTAATGGATAAACTATACTCTCTTAAAAGTAGGCTTAAGTGACTGTAAATATCTAAATAATTGGATTTATATAAATATCATTGCTATCAATGCCTCAAAGTTAACTGGACAGATTAGACTTCCTTCATATCACCACTTATTACACTGCACTGGTAAACACATAACTGGTAAGACTGGCATTCTGCTCCAGTTGTGTTACCAGGGCCCAAAGCAAGAAGCTGCCCCTGACCCAATAGTCTCTCCTGCCTTTAGGGAGTAAGGGGATGTTTTCTATTAGCATTAACATTTCTGTTGATATGCATAGGAAAGAAAGAAAGGATCATTTGAATTGTTACTAAGCTCACCAATTTGACTGACAAATTGTTTCTTTTTATGTCAGCCCTGGGCAGAAGCTAGCCCCTCCTGGGGAAACACCTTTATTGTCAAATGCTGTAGAGCTTAAGTTAGGTAAAAGACAAGCAGCCCCAGATCAGGAATGGAAGATAGGAATCACTAACTTCTAAAATTTTTAGACTCAAAACGTTCTAATTTTTAAATAAACTAGAAACATATACAGAGAAAAATTTTAACAGCAGATCTTAATAAGCATGGATAACACAGCCTCTATTGGTGAAATATCACTATAAATATGATAGGCAACATAAACACATAAAACTATAAAGTATTTTACAACTTACACAATTCTCTCCAGTTCATTAATTTTATGCTAATCCAACAGTACAGAAAAGACATCTCCAACCATGTTCTACAAGCCATATAGATAATTCTTTCAACATGCATTATATGTACCAACTATTAAATAACTCAGCCTGAGATGTCTAGTGATGTGATCTTATACAAAAGAAAGATGCTCCAGTGGATGTTGCACAAAACTCATTTTTTAAAAAGCATTAAAGAGGGTCAGTGAGATGGCTCAGCAGGTAAAATGCCTGCTGCCACACTTAAGGACCTAAATTCAATCCCAAGAACCCACATGGTAGAAGGAGGGAACTCCAGCAAGTTTTTTCTGACCTCTACCCATGTGCTTTGGCATGCATGCACCCACATACATGCACACATACATATGTACGCACACACACAAAATAAAAACTATAGTAAATTTTAAAATAAAGTTTTAAACAGTAGGAGCTTCTTCAGTACTACCTAGAGGGTTTTTTGAAAACTGTGGTACTCATTTGAACTATAAGCTTTCCTTCCCTTCCTCTTCCCAGTATCCTCCAAGGCCACCTAGCTAGCTAATGATGCAGTGTACTAGTATCAATTTGACAGCACCTAAAAGCTACCTAGCAGCCAGCTGCTTCTCCCAACCATGCCCCATTTTTTGCTTCCCTCTCTGTATACATGATATGCTCTACCTAAGTGCCCCCTCCTCCACTACTGCATGCTCAGCACTTCGAGGACCACTCTCTTCCATAAAGCTTTGTTTTTCCTGATAGAAATGACTTTTTTCTCAATAGCCCAGTGCACTAAATGGGATGGGAGTAGAAAAGGGTTGAAAAGGTCACCAAGGGAATAGGAGCTACTGAGAAATCAAACTACTCTCTAGTTTAGGTATCACATTGAAATGCTGATTACCAGAAATAAATTTTGAAATTGCTATTATTAACCACTCTCAATATTAAGTCAACTTTCAACTGTTACAATATTTACATATATTCCTCCTCTGGTATTACAATAACCAAATACTCTGACACTCAACACTAAGCTATAGTCCTGGTCCTCTCTTTGAAGGAGGTACTAACCCAAGAGAACCTCCCTTAGAATCATGAATAAACCAATGGTAATAATGAAGATGAATTCTTTTAAATAATTTTACATGAACTGTACATGTTTAAAATAAATAAAATTTCCTAGTATATTAATACCATAGTCCATCCAAATATATTTCTAATAGGAACTATTACAATACTTTCTAAATTGAATGTCTCCTGTGGAGGCCATCTTTCTGATTGCTGCTTCATGGGTAGTAATTCCTTTGACAACAAACCTCCAAGAGCTTTCTGTTTACAGTCCAAAAGTCTCGCACCTTTACCTGGTGTTTAGGGCTATTCACAAACCAGCTCATACCTTCATTCCTGAATCATGTCCTCCTGCTTTCTATCCATACCCTATGCTCCAACTAAAACAGACCATAATTATAAGTAACCACACATTCTAAATGGACATGGTGACACATTTGTAATCTCCTAATCAGTGAGTTTCAAAAACAAGAAGTACTTCTGGTGTATTTGTTTGTTTAAAGCTCAATGCCTTAAAACCTTCCTGTTCAAAGTGTGGCCCTGACCCAGCAGCAATGACGTCATCTGGGAGTTTGTGAGAAATGCAGAGCATCAGGTCTCAGCCCAGACCTAGTGAACATGAGCCTTCATTTCACCCCAGATAACTGCTATGCACATTAAAGTGCAGGAAGCACTGCTTTAGAGAGCAAAGCTTTTCACTCTAGCAACAAGCATACAAAATCATTTTAAAGTCTGAACAAAGTTTACGGTCCTCAAATATGCACACAATTCTGTGGTGACATGTAGATTTCTGTCATTTTAGAAAAATGGAGCATCTGTAACTTCATTAGACATTCACATGTTAATTTTATAAAGTGTATTTCCTTCTGCTTAAAAGTAACTTGAATAGATATTTCTGCATGAAATTACTGGCATAAACTATTAGCTTGAATAAAGGGTGTTTTCTGCCCTGTGGCACTGCTACTGTCAACGGGCATTATATCTACTAGACAGTCTACAGTAATCGCTTAGTGTATTCTTGCTTTCACTTGCCTTTTGGTGGGAGATTCTCAAAGCCCTTTACAAAGGGCTTGCTATGTCCCTCCTAATGCAAGAAATCAGTGAGGTGTCAAGCAACAGCTCCCTTCCATTTCTGACCCATACTGACAAGTGAGCTTACCATCTGAAGTCCCAATGTCATGGGACCCAGGCTGCTTGTCCTCCCAGGAGGCCATTTCTCTGATGGCAATGTGAGCACACTTCCTCTCAATTTGCATTAAGCTGGGTGGGCAACAAAAACACAAAGGTTTGCAGGTGGCTGCAAGGAGCTAGATGCTGAAAGGTCTCTGGAGAAAAGCTGAGGCTGATGGGAATTAAGGGCCTTGAAGGTGGACATCAATCAGGTACATCTCACTCTGTGAGTATTCCCAAGAACACTATAATGAACTAGAAGTTCAAAGAGAAAGGAAAAACAGAACTAGGTATGTAAGAATGGAAAGCTATTGTAACCCTTCAAATTGCTCAGTGGTAATTTTAATATTAAAGAAACTTATAGTGGCATATCAGAACCAATCTGCATTTATACACAAGCATCAGAAGAATAAAGTAGTCTTTGTTAACATAAAACACATGTAGATGTTGGGAAAACAAATTCTGTACCCTCCCCCAAATTTCAGATATAGGTATTATTCCCAATCTCAAATTAAGCCAATTAAGACAACCAGGGACAAATACAAAGAAACAAAAATGCCACAATTCACACTTTTTTTGGCTGTTTGATTATATATAGATTTCCAATAAAAACTGATGTCATCTGTTGTTTTGTTCCTCACTATAGCTAAAAATGAGATGAACTAAATTAACTTCAAGACACAATGTAGCTCTCTGACCTTCAAAGGGAATATTATAAAAAGGTTTTCGTAGCTGGGATAAGCTTCTTCATGTGTGAAAAGGATTTATTTCCTGGAAAAAAAAAAATCACCACATTTTACTCTTCTAGAACCCCAACCTTGAACAACTATCAAAGGACAGGAGTTTGGAGAAAAGTTAAGGCTACAACCTGTATTCTTTTTCTGTATACACCTCCTGGAACCTGGGGGTGAGGTGGTGGTAATGAGGAGACAAGTTCATGACTGTCTCCTGATTAGTAGATGGCACTGGTTCTTGTAACTCACAGCCCAGAAAAATACTTGCAAATATACGCCAAGAGAAACCGATGGCTGTTCTTTGAGTTACACTGTATTTCCTGCCCAAGATGTCTGATAAAAGAAAGTTCCCTTAAAAGAGCATTCCGATTTGGATCCTAAATGAGGCAGAAGGGCTGTGCATTAAAGGCTTGCT